CCATCCCCGTTTACACAGCCCCTCCCCAGCTCTGATTTGCCTTTGAACCTCTCAGGGAGTCTAGTAATCACTCCTGCCTGGATTATGCTCTTTGCCCCATCCTTGCATATATATCCCCTTTGGTGGTTTGTCTACCCCCATGACATGATTTGTGCTGCCCATGACGTTTTTAGCGCCCAGTTTATGCCAGGGGTCTGTTCACACACACACCCTTTAAAAAGGGATTTGTGTTCTCCCTTGGGAACTTGTTTCCCTTTTACCTCTTAAAACCCAGTTTTTCCCTTTCCTTTGCCCTTCCTCCCTTGGGTACCCGTTTACTTTGCCCACGACCCCGCGCCTCACCCCCGCGCTGTGGACCCCTCACCATGGCGAAGCCCGAGAGCAGGGCAGACGTGCGGCTGGAGGCTTTGAGCTTGGCTCGGCTGAGGTAGAGGCGGCGCCAGCTGAGCGCCCGCAGCGAGTGCTGACTGGCCCCCATGAGGTCCAAGTAGCCACGGTGCACGAACTCTCGGTATGTGGCCGAAGCCGCGGGGCACTCGGCCTCCGGGTTCAGCGGGGCCTGTTCGCCCGCGTCCCCCTGGCCGCCCTTCATCCTGGGGCGCCGCAGTACCAGGGGGGCCGGGCAGTCAGGGCGGGGCCGAGTAGCCTTGGGAAGTCCAAGAGGGTCTGTCCAGGCTGGGGGGAGGCCCCATCCCCCTGGGGGGTAAGAAGAGATGTGGGCCGCTGGCGCCCAGGAAGAGGCAGTTGGGACTGAGCAGGAAGAGCAGGCGTCTGCGGGGAGCCCTAGGGGCCGAAGCGGGACAGCAGAGGCCGAAACAGGAACTGGGGCAGAGGCGGAGCCGCGGCGGCCACATGATGGGGTGGAGCCCGGGGGCGTCCGCAGAGATCTCAAGGGACCCCTGCAACACCAGTCCACCTAGAATGTCATGCAGGCGCCCTAGCTCCTCTGACGTTAACCACCACCCCCAGCCAGTGGCTGGGAGTTCCTGGACCCTGGACCGCTCCAAGTACACTCGGACACACCCAGATGTCCAGATCTCCAATACCGTACTTAAATTGTAAACTGGGGAAAGGTGAGCCCACCTGCCATAGGGGGCCTTGCAAACTCAGTTCTGGTAAGCCGAGGAGATCCAAGGCTCCCAGATCCATCCAAACAGCCCTGCCTCTGAGAGCACCAAAGGGTAAGCACTCAGGTCCTCCCTGGCCTAGGCCCCCCCGCCCCCCGAACGCCGCAAACAGACACAAAAACTCAGTGGCCCCAGCTGGAAGATTTTGAGTTTTATAGCAAACCGTATTGTACAGACCCGGGGCCCAGCCCGGCTGGGTCCCCCACTTGTCCCCCGCCGGGCTGCCTCTTCCCCCTCCCCCAAGCGGCCCCAACCTCAAGCCTTTCGCGAACCCCAGGAGCCCCTCCCGTCGACCTTTGGTCCGCCCAGTCCCTCCCCCCACCCGCGCACCTCCCTGTTACCTGAGGTATGTGGATAAATTCCCCCCTCCCCTACTTGGTACAACCCAGCTACCCCGGAGGCCTGGGCTGAGGGGCGGGCCCTGGCCCCCCAAGCCCCACCCCCGCACTGGAGGAAGGGGCAGGGGCGGGCCAAGAGTGTTACTAAGTTCCCATGGCAACCAAGTGGGGCCATTACGACAGCCTTAGCCCTGGCTTTGGGATATGTCCATTGGCTGCTATTTCCATGGCAACCAGGAGTGGCAGTTCCCTGGGCAAATGGGATACAAGTTTCCATGACGATGAGTGGGAAGAGCCAAACTGGAAGTGTCCCATCTTCCCCATCACTGGGCAGGCACCCCACCCCACCCCACCCCGCCCCGCTTCAGGTCAGGAGGGGTAGAACTGCTCAATACAGTAAAGCAAGAAGGAGCCTGGTGGTGACGCAGTCCAAACTGGGCACCCACCGGACCAGTCTCAGTCCAAACGGTCCGGCCCCTCACACTCCAGCTCCCCCAGGTCCGAGATTCCCCAGGTTCAAGTAACACTTCAGTACAGATGAATGTTCAAGTATTGAGCGGGGAGGCAGGTAGGGGGCTGGGGTACCCCTCACCACTCCCCTGGGCCACGCTGAACAGCAGATAGGCCAGCTGGCCCCCACTCCTCGCAATAGCTGCCATTGTCAGTGACTTTCAAGGAGTCAGGGTTGGGGGAAGGAACTGAAGCTGGGGAGAAAGGGGAGGAGTGACCCCCCTGAGGGAGTGCTACTGCCCCCACACCTGCTCTTGCCTCCCATCCCTCACTTAGCCCTGGCTTTCCCTGGTTCCCCGAGTACCCCCACCTCTGACACCTGGACTCCCAATAGCTCCTCTGGTTTCCCTTTTTGCCCCTCCCTCCCAACTCCAAGTATCTGGTCTGTTCCCTGCACCCTTGGTGGTCTGCTTTCTGCCCCCCTCCCCCAGCCCATCCTCCACCTCCCGCAGCCCCTGGCTCCCAGTATCCTGTATGCAGATACATTTTCCCCATTCTCCCTCCCTCAAACTTGCACCTTACCCCCCTCCCACCATCCCTTTGGCTCAGCAACCCCCAGTACCTCTGACCCACTCCCCCCAGGGGATGGACAATGAAGCAAGTGAAAGGGGGAGGGGATGGGAAAGAGACCCCCAGAAATATCAGTGCAGGGGGTAGAGAGTGGGGAGGCTGGCTCAAGTCCCTGGGCAGGAATCCCGTCAGAAAATTCAGGAATCCCAAGTTATGAGGTGGGTAACCTGGCCTCCTGGCAGGAGTGAAATGAAGGCCCGAAGTCCAGGCTCCTGATGAGTCCTGGGGGAGGGTGGGAGGCACCCAACTAGCTGTCCTTGAGAAGCAGCTTCTCCTCTGGGCAGCGGAAGGGGCCAGGGGGCCCAGCAGCTGCCAGCCGGGCACAAGCTTCAGGTGAGAGCTGGCGGCAGGAGCGCAGGTCTAGGCGGCGTAGGCGAGGGCAGCGGCGGAACAGCGGAAGGCAATGGTCAGTGAGGCGGTGGCAACCTGGGGATGGGGCAATGGTAGCCAACACCAGGAAAATGAGTAGGGAGTAGGCACTAGTAGTGGGAACCAACAGGCTAGAAGGATGGACAGACGGGACCATGCTTACCAGCGAGATTGAGGTGTACCAGGGTCTCTCGGAGTGGGGAGGTGGGGGCCGTGAGGAGATGAACGCTGGGATCCCCAACATGGGCGCAATGGCTCAGATCCAGGGCACTCAGCTGGGGCGCATGGCGCAGCAGGAGCCGCAGGGAGGCATCTGTCAGCTCCAGGCCTGCCAAACGCAGCTCTGCTACCCCCTGCAGCCGCCCTCGGCTCTCCGTTTGCCCTGGGCAGGCAAATAAAAGGTCAGCATTCCCCTCTGCTTCCATCCCTGTACCTAGGCATCCTGACCAGCTATGTTCCCATATTCATATTACTCACCACCCGCTAAATCTGCTCCCACTATATGTGAGCCTCGGCTGGTGCATTCTGCCTGGCTTGCTCTTGTCCCAAATACTCACATCCCTGACCTCATCTCATCTGTTCATTGTTCACACTGCTTCCTCAGTGAGGCCTGCCATGATTACTCCATTTGAAACTAACATTCCACAAAGTCGCTACCCCTTTATTTTTTCCCCCCCTTTCCCACCATCAGACACATATATTTTTATCCCCAACAACTGGGACATAGGTGCTCAATATATAGTTACTCGTCCAACAAATGACATCCCTAACAGGACAGCCATTCCAGGCTGCTCTCCCACTTTCCTCTCCTTCCATGATTAGTAAAGTCACCAACTGGATCCCTTTCTCTCCATTCCCCCTGTCACCACTCTGAGTCTATACCACTCTTACTTCACCTCCTACCCCAGCCTCCTCATTCACTCTAGTCTCTCCTCTTTTTCCTGGAATCCAAAGAAAGCCATTCTCAAACACAAGTGGGATAACATCCCTCTTCTGGCTGGCCAGTGTCCCTGGCCTTCAGGTCTGAGCTCAGAGGCCTCCTCTTCCCCTATCTCCAGGGTACATGAGCTTACACTACTCATCTCTGCATCAAAAGCACATGGGTCTGCTTCCCTTTTATTGAATCTACCACATTCCTGGCATTACAGTTTGTTTGTTTTTTACAAAAACTAAATGCCTATGGTGCATCAGCAGCCACTGAGCACTCACTGTGGGCCAGACAGGCTAAGTAGCTGTCTGCCCCTAGGCCAGTGGCTCTCAAACTATGTCCCCTGGAAGGCTGGTTAAAAAGGATTGCTGGCCCTGCCCCCAGAGTTTAGGTACTCTAAGTTGGGGCCTCAGAGTTTATTTTCCTAGCAAGTTCTCCAGTGATGTTGAAGCTGCTGGTCCGGAGACCATGCTTGAAGAACCACAGCCTTGGGAGACAAGCTCTTTGATTATCATTCCTGTTTACAGATGAGAAAATGGAGGCTCAAATCATTAAGCAATCTGCTCAAGGTCACATGACTATGAAGTAACAAAGCTAGGACAGCAGGCCTGGTGATTCCAAGTCCAAGCACCACAACGCTATATGCCTCCCAGGCACCAGCCTAGCCCCTAAACTAGATCAGATGCCACAAACTCATGAACCTGGCCTACACAAGTGTTTTTTGGAGTCTGCATAATGTAAAAATTTTCTCAGTGACTAAGCCTACCATAAAAGGACATTTTTATGTAGAAATTTAGATATTAAGCTTTTCCTTGAAAATCGTAAGATCTGGCATCACTGGGCTACCCCTTTCACCTGACAATTGGCTGGAGCAGGGTTGCTAGAGGCTACTTCCTAATGTCCTGCACCAAGCCCATCACTTGCTACCTGCCAGGCCACCTTCATGGGTACCTGATTTGGCAAGCTCTGAATTCCACCCCCTCCTTTTTTTCATTTGAGGAGCTGAGAGCCTGGAGAGGGAATACATCTATAGATTCCCTCAACCTTGGGCTACAACTGGAGCCATTAGAAGAAAGCAGAGGAAAGAGGGCACCCTGGCCTTGGAAAAGGGGAAAAGGGGGCATCAGTGAGGGTTTCACCTAGGTGGCAGCATTTAAGCTGGGCCATCAAGGACCAACCCTGGGGAGAGGTTGGAGAAGAGTATGCCAGGCAGAAAATAGCAGGGGCAAAAGCAAGAAGCACAACTTTACATTTTGCTCCAGAAACACTGTACAAACCAGGGAGCCAAGATCAGAAAGGTAGGTGCAGAGTTCAACATGCACAATAGGCTTGGAGGGCCCGGATGGTTCATCTTTGCAAGCTCCTGACAGAGGCTTAAACTCAGGTGAATTCAGGGAGGAGACAGGGTCAGTCTGCCAGCCAACCAGCACTTTCTCACCTCATGGAACACACTGTTCCTAATGCCCAACCCTTACACGTGCCCAAATCTTCCTGGCTCAGTCCAGTTCCAGTAAAAGTGGGCAATGGGTGAGTGCTCTGGTTTGGCTTTGCCTGTGTGACTTGCAGCACTCAACCCCTCTGGGCCTCTGGTTCCTCATCCAGAAAATGCAAAGGATCCTAGTTGCTTCTCTACTCCTTTTCCAAGGATGCTGTGAAGGGGTGCAGTGGAGGAGGGTGGGAAGAAGGGAGCCATGAAAGAGCTACGAAAGGAAGACGCTGGGGCAAGCAGATAGTCCTTGCCCTCACGGAGCTTAAGAACCTAGTGAGAGGAAACAGATTTTAATCAAATCAAATCATTTCACAATGGTACACTGATATGCTCGCAGGGGACTGCTCTCAAAGTTGAAGAGGGACTCTGGTCTCAATGGGGGAGAGAATCATGGAGGGCTTCTAAGAGGAAGTGGCATTTAAGTTGTAGCCTGAAGGGTGATTAGGTGTTAGATGAAGGATGACATAACACTCTAGGCAAAGAAGAGTGGGCAAAAGCCCTAGGGCTGGAAGGAACTTGGCAAGGAGGTTTAGGTGGCTAAGATGCACGGATCACATAGGTGAGCAGGAACCACATGATGCCAGGCTTTAGTGACTATAGTAAAATATTGGTCTTTAACCAAAGAACACAAAAGAGAAGCAACAAAAAAGAGTTTATAGCACAGAAGTAAATTGGCTACATTTGTCTTTCTGCATGGCTCCCCTGACTTCGGTGTAAAGAACAGACTGGTGTGAGCCAGAGAGGATGCTACTGTAAGCATCCCACCTCTTGGCTAGACAAGGAGCCCCCAGGCCTCAGTGCCCCTACCCTACACTTCATATGACCCCTAAGGTCACCTGACCAGCCTGAGCTCCCAGCATCCTCCTCAGTCAATACTGGCCTCCTGCCCCACAAAACTACTTATTTTGCCTCACACTCCCTAGAAAAACCCTGTCTCTTTCAGGACTCAGTTCAAATAGCTCCTTTTAAGGGGGACTTCTTGCATTGCTCTCTCACCCTCACCACAGCTCTTATCATACCATATCATGTAATATAATCTTCTATTTCTGAGTCTCTCTCTTCTGCATGACTGGGGTTCCACCAGGGTAAGAAATGGGGCTCATTCAGTCTGAGGTCTTCAGGGTCCTACACAGGCCCAGGCCCAGAATATGTTCAACAATAAAAGCTGACTTTACTTGGCAGGGTACCTGGGCCTGACCCACAGTGAAGAGGTGGATGGTCTGATTGGGCAGATGATACCACCACCTCCATGCAATCTTCCAAGTCAGCTGGCTCCTTCTTTCTGCTCTTTTCCCTCCGGAAAATCCTTATCTTTGTACTGTACAGCAAGGGAGTCTAAGGACCAAATCCATTGCTCAGCCATATTTTTACTGGATCCACACAAGAATTTTAAAAGAATCTGAATTCATTTCCATCATTAAAAAAACGGGATATGTCACAGAAAAACACCTATTTCTGGCTCCGCTTGACAAACCGAACTGGCCACAGAGGGCCCACACTCTTCCATGGCAATAGCCACGGCTCCCTTTGGAGGAGGCTCTCCAGTATAGCCCGCCATACCCAGGGACTTCGCTCCTACCCCTGGCTTCTCCCAGAATTCAGTGGCCTCCTCCAGTCCTATATTGGGCTCCACCCCATAGTTATCTCCCCCTGGAGGGCAGGGACCGCATCCTCTTCATCTGGTTCCTTCCACTCCCATCACACGGCCCAACACACTACAGGTGAGTGAATGAACGAACGATGGCCAAGCAGGGCCTTCCTATTCACACTCAAGTGTTCTATCCTTTCTTCAAATCCTTTAACATCTAGCACGAGTCAGAAGAGACCCTGGAAGCCTCAGAGCCCCACCTTGCCCACCCATTCTACAAATGAGCCAACAGAGGCTGCACCTGGTTTGGTGTCTGGTGGAGGCAGCAGCAGCTCGCGGAGCTGGGAGTCTTTAACATCCTCAATCCAGCGCAGGTCCAGGAGCCGCAGGGCGGGCAGTGGGGCTGAGCCCAGGGCAGAGACAGAGAGCCAGGAGCAGCCAGACAGCACCAGTTCCTGCAGGCCTGGGGAAAGTTAGGAAGCTGGTGCTAGGAGGGCTCTGTGCCGGGTCTATCCCACAAGTGACTCTATCCAACCTCACCACCTTGCCATACCTTGCAGTCGGTTCAGAAGCCACATGAGTTGCTTCTTGGAGACACCTGTCCAGCTGAGGTCCAGGGCTCGGGGCTGGCGACGAACCACACCACTAAGCATGGGAGGAGTAAGTGACTTCCGCCGGCTCAGGTCCATGCGAGGCCACAGACGCTTGTCATAGCACCTGACAGCCACAAGGGGGTAGACAGCCCTCAGCTCTCAGGAAGCCCACACCCTCCCCACACTCAATGGTTCACTGGTTTTCTCCTGATGGATACAGAAAGCAGGCAGGGACAGGAAGCTCCAGGACCCAGGCCAAGAGCACTGAGTTTGGGGCTCAAGCCACTAAACTAGATGAAAGACCCTGGGAAAGTCCATTCTTTTCCTTGAGCCTCAGATACCTAGTCTAGAAAATGAAGACAATGATCCTTACTGGCCTGCCCCATGGGCCTACTGTAAGATCAAGTGAGGCCATTCTGGTTTTCGTACCTTACAGCTTAAGACACACATGAATACCCTATATGCTGTATTTGTTGTAACACCAAAGGGATCTAACAGCATTCCCAAACCCCACCTTGGACTCTCACTAATTATATTGTTGGCTTGTGGGCATATCTCATTGCCTCTACCAGTTTCTGCCCTTGATCCACATCTGCCTCATCCTGATGGCCAGCTGCCCAAGGCTTGACTTACAGCCCTATTTGCTCTCTTGGTTTGACTATTGTGCCCCTTGAACTACAACGTAGGATCCACAAGGGCAGATCTGGCTTTTTCCCTTTGGTTTCCCCAGTACCCAGCACTGTGCCAGGTGCACAGTAAGTTATCTGTCATGCATTTGTTGGAATGGGGCCAAGCTTCCATTGAGCACCCCCATAACATACTTCATGTACAGCTTTTCATTTATTCACCCAGTCATGGAATGTTCATGGAAGACCTGGCAGGTCCAAGGTGCTGATGCTACAAAGATGACTGAGGTCTGAACAAAGGTGGAACTGGTTCCTGATCCCAGCATTTCTGAGAGCCTTGACTAATCCAACATGAGGTGAACCGGAGAAGGGCTTCCCAAACTTATTTTATCAGGGAACCCTTCTGCCTCTCCCAAGGTTATCTATTAATACTTTGTGGTACACTAAAGTTCCTTGAGACTCCCTCTGAAAACTCTTCTTAATGCAGTAGTTCTTGAAGGCATGTTAGGAATTTCCCACTGGGCTGGATGAACTGTGTCAGAAGCAGCAGGGGAGGGGAGGGCCCAGGAAGCTGAACCTCCCCCTGGCCCCCCAATTCTGAAGGGCTTTTTCTTCAACCCCAGTCATTTGCTATCCACTTATCTATAGAACATGAGTTTTATCTTGAAATTGATCCCCTATATGCACTTAAAACCAGTAATGTTTCACATAAATGCGTTAACCACAGAAATAAATGCAATAAAAACAGACCAGGGTTCTTAAATTCTAGTCAGGTGTTGCTGTAGCCTTGGGCTACCACCTAAAGACTATTTTTTGTTAAACAGGGAGATGAGTATAAGAAAGGTGTTAAAGATACAATAGCACACAATGGAGAGACCTCGTTTTCAAAATAAAATAATTAAGCCATTTTTGTACCACTTAAAACTGCCAGGCATACTCCAGAGCTCCTGGGTGACATCTTAGGGAATGGTGGAGGCACAGACATTAAGGATTCAATCCCAACAACTCCACCTCTCTGTCCCACTAATCGCCTCCTACCATTTCCCCCCTCTCCTGGCATTCTAGCCTCTTCCTCTCCTCGTTCCATCCACTCAACCACTAACATTCGCAAATCTCTCCAATTCTAAAAAGGAAAAAAACAAAACAAAAACCTCACCCTCAACACAGCTTCTGTCCCTAGGTCCTGCCCCTTTTTTCTTTCTGCTCCATCCAAAACCTCTCTCTGCCCACTCTGACCCAATCAAGTCCCAGCTCAACTGCGACCACCTCCTGGATCTTCCATGGCTAGAAGGGAACCGTTCCCCCTGGAGGCAGGCACAGGCCCCATTTGCTCTGTATCATATTCCACAAGAGCCAGGCCAAACCATCTGCCTGCCTATAGACACACAAGGCTGTCTGGTGCCAACACACTTTGGCACATGTTGTTCTGGAAATGCCAACCAACCCAGATCCTTAAAGGCTCAGCTCCAATGCCTCCTCTTCCAGGAAGTTTCCCCTGACTTTTCTTGGCTGGAGCTATCCATCCCTTTGCCCTTGTATGACCAGGTCACTGGGTTTGAACCTCAGAGTAGCAGACAGCAGTCACTAAGGGTCCTACTGATACTAAGTGTCCAGCCTCCACTGGGCACAAAGCAGTCAGAAAATGGGGGAAACAGTCAATCCACAGAAACTGAAGCAACAAAAAACATGATAAGAGTCAATGAGAGGACTTTGACAGGGGAGCCCCCCAGGGAGACAATGCCTGATGAGACTTTTAAGGACAGCAGTCATTACTCCAGAGAGAGGAGGAGAGGAAGAGGGTGTACACTCCAGACAGGGAAGAACTGGTATCCAGGTCCAGGACACGGAAGGAGAAAACAGCGCTGAGAAGCTCAGGCAGCATGAACAAAGGGCAATTCATCATCTCATAATAACGAGAATGACAACGATGATGACTACAGCACTAAGAACTAGTGTTTATCGAGGGTCTGCTATGTGCCAGCTACTGTTCTATGCATTAAACATTTAACCTCACAACAGCCCTAGCAGGTAAATACTGTTATCATCTCCTTTTTAAAGAACAGTAAGGCTCAGAGACGTTAAGAAACTTGTTCAAGGTATCACAGCTACTAAATGGTAGCAGAGCCAGGGCTTAAATCAAGTTGGTCTGGATGAATGCCTGAACTCTGGTGAGTGGGGAATAGGCATAGGTTGAGGATGCAGAGGCAGCCTAGGGTAGGAGTGACATGTCAAGAAGGACTAGAATGGCCCTGGTCGGTGTGGCTCAGTTGGTTGGAGCGTTGTCCCATGAACCAAAGGGTGGTGGGTTCGATCCCTGGTTGGGGTGCCTGTGGGAGGCAGCTGATTGATGTTTCTCTCTCTCTTCTCTCCTCCCTTCCTCTTTCTCTAAAACCAATTAAAAAATATCCTTACGTGAAAATTAAAATAAATAGAATTAAAAAAAATTATTTTTAAAAAGAGGGCTAGCATGCCAGGCTGGATTGCTGTAGCCACAGAGTCCAGAGGTGAAGGGTATGAGTATCTAAATCCCAGCTCTGTCACCTCCGTGCTTTGAGTGACCTTAGACAAGTCACTTGCCATCTCTGGGCCATTCTCCAAGCCACAAAAGGGATTAAATGCAGCACTTAATTCAAAGGTTTGCTGCAAAAACAAAGGGGATAGTACAGGGGAAGTGTTTAGTGTCGTCACTGGGGCACTGTTCATGTCCAAATGTCCAATAAGACTAGCTCATTGTGAGGGCAACAGGGAGGAGCTGTGGATGGGTTCTTTCTATGCTGGGGAATAACACTAAGGCAAAAAGCAGGAAGAACTCTTAAGAGGTCAAGGCATGCCATCATCCAGGGGGGTCAGGGCTTGAAGTTCAAGTTCTCTAACCCACTCACTTACCGTTAACTCCAGTCAACCTGAGTCGTCCCCCTGCTAAGCCCACCTCCAAAATCCTAAATTCTAGTCCTAAACCTCCCTCTTGCAGAGCCCCTCTGGGGACACAGAGATGGAGCAGCCCAAACTGCTACCTATAAGGAGCTCAATAGCCTCCTGGTCTCCAGCCAAAACCAGTTCTTCCCTCTGAGCTCCCTGGGCTCCCTGATGCCTTGTGTTCCAATGTGTCCATCACTAAGCCTTTACTCCCAAGCCCAACTGGCCTTGACCCTGTGTTCTAGTCCCTTCCTTGCCACCCTCTCTGCCCATGTCCTCCAAAGTCCCAACCCTCTTCCCTGCAACTCAACAACTCCTCCACACTTCTTCTGCCTGCCTTCTCTCCCCTCTTTTTTAAAAATTGATGAGAGAAACATCAATTTGTTGTTCCACTTATTTACACATTCACTGGTTGCTTCCTGTATGTGCCCTGACCAGGGATCAAACCCACAACCTTGGCATATCGGAATGACACTCTACCCAAGTGAACTACCCAGTCAGGGCTTCCCCTCTTGGTAGATCACTTCGCCTCCCAGTTCTAAGAAGATAGAAGCCACTAGAGAGGGAAGTCTGCAACTTCCTGCTCTCCCAACTATACAAATTTCTCTCTCATCTCTTTCTACACTCCATCCTGATTTCCTCACTGTTATTCATTCAACAAGTATTTTCTTAGTACCTACTGTATGCCAGGTGCCATCTTAGAAACCAGGGTACACCAACAAACAAACAGATCAAGTCCCTGTCTTGAAGCTGATGTCCTTGACCCGATGTGACCTGGCTTTGGTCCTCCCACCCCTTTTAGCACAGCCAAGGATACCAAGGCCTCCTTGTAGCAAAATCCAACCGCCACTCTGGTCCTTGATCTCCCATGACCTTTTGCCAACATCCAACACTGTTTACCATTCACTCCTTCCTCAACCTCCCTTAGAACAACACACTTCCCCCCCTGACTTCCCCCAAGGTTCTGGCTGCTCTTTCTCTAACTCACAAATACTGACATTCTGTCTTCTGTTATCTTCCTTGAAACTGATACCTATAGATTAAAAACTCCCAAGTTTGGACCTTTCTCTTGGTAGATCACTTCACCTTCTAGTTCCAAAAGACAGAAGCCACCAGGCAGGAAAACCTGCAACTGTCTGCTCTCCCACTTGTTTGTTCACTGCTGTGTCCCTAGTTTCTAAACTTGGATCTTTCTCTTGAGACTCAGACTTGCACATCCAGCTGTTTTCCTGCTAGCTCCCAACTGGCCCACAAACTTTTCAGACCAAACATGCCAAATTTGTGTGCTTCACTTTCCCCTAGAACTTGCTTCTCTTTCTTTGGTACTCCCGAGTGTGAGGAATGGCACTGTTGCCCACTTAGACTCATGGGCCAGAAACTCAGTTGAGAGTCACCCTGCTGCCCCATAGCCACTTAATCACCAAATCCAAACTATTCTGCTTCTTTAAAGGTTCTCCACCTGAGTTCCTTCTCTCCATCCCCACTGCCCCTGCTTTTGCCCCCAGGCCTGACAGAGCCTTCTGACTGTTCCCACTGTGCCCCACCCCCACAGGCCCCTGCACTGCCCTACCCTCGCTCTTCTCATAGAAAACCACCATTTTATTGAGTGTTTAGAATCATTCAGGAACTATGCTAAGTACTTTACAAGAACCATCTCATTTAATCCCAAGGTATTAATATGAACCCCAAATAATAGATGAGAACACTGAGGCCTTGATAGGTATAGCTGTCCAACCATGGCCATAATCCAGGAAGTACCAGAGTCACAGCTGATGAAAGGCATAAGGACCAGACTCCAGGACCCAAGCTAGAAACCACTGGGCAGTCCAGCCTCTCTCTATTTCTGGTCACACCTCTCCTTGATGCAGAAATAAAATCCTCCTCAGTTCTGGATCCCATGTGCCAAGCATAGAGCTGGCCTTGAAGAGGCCTCAGCAAACATTTCTTCAACTATTACATGAGGCAGGGGTGGTAATCCCCAGCAATTGCTGTAACTATTTGCTTCTATGTTGCAGGCTGACTGGGAGCTCTTCCAGGACACAGATCTATGTTCTGAGGATGTGAAAGTTTGTGCTTTCAGTAATTACTTACAACTGAATGAATAGTAATGATTATGGTAAAGGCATTGAATAGTTTCTATTTCCCAACTACTGTCCTCAGTTCTTCAGGTGTATTAGCTTACAAAAACACCATGAAGTATACAGATGATGTATTATAGAATTGCATCCCTGAAACCTATATAATTTTATTAACCAATGTCACCCCAATAAGTTCAATAAAAAAAAACAACTATGAAATAAATGCTTTGGTTCTACTGGTTTAACAGAAAACGAGGCCACGAGAAGTTAGGAAACTAGCCCAACGGCATACGGCTCCAGAGGAAGAATAAGGAAAGAGTAAGACTGAGCCCCAGGCATTTACCTGCAGAGCCTGCACTCCCATCCTCTTAGCTCTACGGCCTCTCGGGGACCAGCTGGCATGAACTAGCACCCAGAATCCAAAGGAAAAGGACTGGAGTTTGAATTTAGCCACTAACTTGCACTGTGACTTCAGGTGTCCCTCATTCCCTCACAGGGCTGCTACTATGAGGAACAAACCAGCTAACATTTGCAAAATGGCCAACAGGATGCCTGGTCCACAGTAAGTGCCTGAGAAAGAGCCTGAATTTACTCATTTTATAAAATACTTCTTGAGCACCTACAGCGCTCTTTGTCCTGTGCTGGGAACAAGAAGATAAAACAGACACAATATCTGCACCACCCCAGAAACTGATCAGAACATGAAAACGGATAAATGAAAGGCGGCTCATCAACATGCAGAAGGCCTCTATGTGCTGTGAGGGGAACAGAGTGTCTCAAGAGTTTGACTGGGTGGAGGAAGACTAGGGGTTTGGGAGGATGAGGGAGATTTCTGAATAAACAAGGTTCAGGAAGCAGTGGGAAGATGAGGGAAGACAGGCAGAGGGTGTTGGTGGTGGCTCTGGGGCATGAAGAAGTTACCTGGGGTCAGGAGGCCCAAGTATGGCTGCCTTTGAGACGGCAGGGGCCACCTCAGCAAAGAACTTTCTTATGTGTAAATGGAACAGTTAAGATTGTCCTCAGAAGAGGAAGTGTGAAAAGCAAATGAGATGAAAAAGCAGTAAGCATTATGCTTGGCACATACCACTCATAAATGATATTAAGAGAAAAGTTTTAGGAGCAAGAGGAACTGGGTTCAAATTCCTGGTTTTACTGCTTCCTCTCCGCATGACCTTCACCTCAGCTTCATCTGTACAGGGGAGTAATATTACCTACCTCACAAAGTTGTTATGGTTAAATGAGCTCAAAAATGGAAAGCAGACCGTGCGTAATAAATACAGAAGTATCATGCTATCATATGCACACACTACAGAAGTATTATCAACACAAGAATAGTGACCAGAGAGGAAGGATAAGGAACCGGTTACAAGTCACACAGAAAGTGGAGGGTGACAGCAACAGAACCTAGGCCTGTACAGGCCACTCACCAGCGGCTCCAAGTCCGGCAGACTCGCATGCAAATGCACAGCTCTCGGGGCCCAAGGTGCTGGAAGACACGAAGCCAGGCAGCCCGGGGCAGAGGGTGGTCGGATCCAGCAGCCAAAGGCAGTGTGTCGGGCTCAGGACTTCGAGGTGGGGGCCGTACCACATGACGCTCCAGCTGCGGGGGCCGGGGTGGTGGGGCAGGGCCCAAGGGCCAACTGAGGAGGGGTCCCCCACTACCAGGGCGCACGGCCCGTCGCCCCCCACGGTTCTCCTTCTCGCCTGAGCTGCCCCGGGCTGGCCGCCGCCCGTTCCGGGCCTCGCCAGGGGCCTCGTCCTCACTCAGGGATGTGCCTGATGAGTCGGAGTCTGAGTCTGAGTCCGAGGAGGACGAGGACGTGTCAGGCACCCGCTCTAGCAGCTGGCACATCCGCTTGAAACGCTCTAGCTTCTCCCTCTGCGGCGATGGGGATGGCACTGCTGGGCCCTCAGCAGAGGCCAAAGGTGGCTTTGGTTTCTGCAGGGAGATAGGAGGAGACTGTTCTAGGGTCTGACACACACTTTCCCTCCCCCCTGCCCTTGAGGAGTCACCAGGGGATGAACAGCCCAAGGGACAGTCCTGAGTTCCAGTCCTGATCTGAGCCATGTGAAGCATCAGCCAAGCCATGGCCCTCTCTGAACTTCACTTTCCTTATCTGTCACATGAAGGCACTGATTCAAAGACTTAAAAGCCTTCTAGGTTCCAGTAGCTCATGAATTTCCACAAGCAGTATGCTATGGAAAGCAGAGATCCAGTTTTGAGTATTGGCTTGGCTATCAACTCTCTGCATGGCCTTGGGAAGCCCCTGCCTTATCATCTACAACATGGGATGTTGGACTAGACAATTCCAAGTGTCTAGTCAATGATGTGAGAATAACAAAGGTCACCTGTCCCTAGGCAGAACATCCCATACTCGCTGACCTGTCCACAGTGCTTGAATGGAGTGGCAACCTGGGTCACTCTTTTTAGACATGAGGAAAATATGCTCAGAGATTAAGCGCCAAAGTGATAAATGGCAGAGGTAGGATTTGAATGCATTTAGGCAGATCCCTGCATTTAGTGTGTCCATGCAAAGTGACATCTGATTTCTAGCTTTGCTGTGCGAACTTAGGCAAGTCTTTTAACCTCTCTGGGCCTCATTTTCCTCAATTCTAGGTTAAGTTTTATAATTTACAAAGCCCATTTACTTTCAGTAGGTTTAAACAGTGGGATAGGTAGATAAGGAAGGTAGTATCTCAGATGAGAAAACTGAGGCTCAGAGCAGCTGACAAGCTGCCAAGACCACACAGGGAGTCAGCAGGCAGGATTCTGGACTCAGTTCTTTCCCCTTTAAGGTTTACAAAGATGACACTAAAGGGTCAGATAATATCCTGAGGGTTCCTGAAAGGGGCTCCTGTGGCCTGACCCCAACCCACTCTCCCCTCCTCCACTCTTCCCAGGGGTCCAGATGCCCATCATGGCCAAGTGGGGCAGGGGCAGGACAAGGTGAGCAGGAAATCACAGATCTCTGTCTCCAGGGTGGAGGGTGGGGCAAGGAAAGATGGGAGAGGGAGGGAGGAGGTCCCCGGCACACCTCCCAGTTCTCGGGAGGGAGCCCAGGGTGGCAGGACGAGAAAGCCTGGCTTGGATTCAGAACCCTGGGGGGCAGAAGGCCTGGGCCGCCTGGGTCCGATCCTCGGAGGAGGCAGGCGTCTCCACCCACCTTCTTCAGGTGCCTCTCACGGCCTCCTTTCACCTACCAGGGAAAGAGGGAGACACAGGGAAAGGGAGAGTCCCATTAGCCACTCATTGTCCACAAAACTAAGATCCATGCCCTCCTCTTGGACTACAATTCCCAGAAGCCCCCACCTCAAGGAGAACTCTTGAGCATGCTCACCTTCTAAGCAGAGTCTTGGCTCAGTGAGCATGCTCTCATCTCCTCTTTCTTCCCCCTCAGGCCATTTCCAGCCCCTCCTCCTACCTCTGTAGCAGCTTTGAGTATGCTCTTTCCCTAATCCCTGAAGTAGCCAGGGCTCCCAAAGCTTCACTACCCAGTGCCAGCTGCCTGTCTCACCTGTATCTCTCCTCCACACAGAGCGTGCCCTATCCTCCCCCGCCCCAGCACTCCTGAACTACATCTCCCAACAACCCTAGGGAATCCATGGAGCACTGCCTCCCAGGCCCACCCTCCCCAAAAAGGAACAGGACTACTACTCCCATATTCCCTTGGGCTGAATCTAGTGAGCATGCTCCCTGGCTCACCTTTTTCTTTGGGGTGGGGGGCTCATTCCCTGCCTCCCTCTCCTTTCTTTTGGGGGGCCCAGGCACGTCCTCTGGGGGGGGCCCAGCAGGCAGGGGGCCCTTGCGCCTGGGTGGGGGGGGTGGAAGTGGCGGCTCCTCCGTCAGCTTCCATCCACTCCCCAGGCTGGCACCCTCCTCGCCGTTGTCAGCCCTGCGGCGGCCTGGTCCCTCACCTGAATCCTGAGGAGATGGATGCTGGGGGTGAGATTCTGCACAGTTCCCCAACCCCCTGCTTACCAAGAGCCCAGCACCCAGCCCAGTCCTGCCCCTACCTTGCTGGTCCGGCCTTCCTGGGTGCAGCGAGGGCACTCCCAGCAGTTAGGAATTTCCGCATTGATGACACCCTCAGCCTTCCCCATCTGTGGGCAGAGGGCAGGGAATGGCTATAGGGTATCAGTAAACCCAGAGGCAGTGTTCCCAACCTCCTTGCTCCCTGACAGTCTGCCCCATCCCAGATTCCAGGTTCCCCAGGGCCATCACCTTCAGGCAGCCAGGGTGGACGATCTCGTTGCAGATTGTGCACTCCATGAGGCTCAAACCAAATTTCTCTTCCTCTCCCTCCACTGTGTCCTCCTTCCCAGCCTCCCCACACAAGAGGCACACAGCTGTGTGTGGGAGCACGGGCTGTTGGGGGAGAGGGGGGCATCAGGGACCCCGAAAGCAAGCAACAGGGGGAAGATCCTTCTTTCTGGGGACCTTGGCCAGCTGCTGGGTGAAGCAGCTGCTGGATGGGCCAAGCTGGGTTCAATCTTGAATTTCTTATTTTTTCTTTTTTGGTTGTATGACCTTGAGCAACTGATTTAATCTCATTTCTGTTTCTCCATTTATAAAATGGGGCTAAGAATTTCCCTGTGCAGGACTCTTTAAGAATGAGATAATGCAAGAGGGGCATTCGATACATAGTTTGTTCTCACTGTTGTAAATGTTCAGCTGGATCCAGGGCCTGTGTGACCCTGGAATTGTAGCTGGCTTTGGGAGGAAGAGGGACCATAAGCAGATATGACAATAATACTCAGAGAAGGCTGGAAGAGACAAGACAGCAGCCTGGGATGATTCTGAGTTTGCTCAATGGGCAGCCTAAAGGTTGCTCTGGACCTCACAATGAACCTGGTTTGGGCAAGACCCCTGGGAACACTAAAGGCTGATCCTAGGGAAAAGGGAGCAGCCTTCAGATAATGTGACTTTGGGGAGGACAGTGGTAATACTTATATTAGGGATGCTGAAGGTTGTGAGACAGGCTCTAGGAAGAAGTAGGTAGGGGGAAGTAGGAACAGGAAAGTGGGCAAGGGCTGGGGGACAAAGAGAAGAGAGGGGTTGGGGGGTGAAGAGACCAAGCAATAAAGACTGGCTGGAGGGAAAAAAGGAAGCAGTGGTATAGGGACGGGAACACAAGATGCTGCTGGAGGCTCCTGGCTTCTGGGGAAGGAGCTCTGGGAAGATAAAAGGATGAAGACGGCTGAGAAGAACCTCATGTTCCTCAGACACCTACTGTGTGCTGTGCCTTGTAGCAGCACGTTCATATCCGTGCTACTATTTACAAGTCAGTAAAAGAAACACTTTGCAGAGACAGTACTTTCGAGGTTCAAAGTGATTTGCTCAAGGTCATACAAAAGGTAAGCTCAACCTCAAATCCAAGACCACTCTGGGCAGGTGAGGAAGTGGCCAGAAGGCTAAGACCTATTCAGGGCTAGCTCTGGGGATGGGCCCTGTGCACAGACACCTCTAGGGAGTTCGATGAGAGGGGCCACATTCTCTATTGGTCTGTGCCTCTGAAAGTTGGGAAAAGTGTGATGGTAGAGGTTGGGTTGGATGGATTCTTCTGTATATCGTAACATCGCCCTCAGCTTGGAGCTGAGGTGGTAAAAAATGGGGTGGATGGACATTTGAACAAACCAGTGAATGAATTAGTGAACAAACAGCAACTCTACAATATATCCTAGAAAGCAGCCACCAGCCACCCCAGAAAGGCATTTAGGCCAACTGGGGAAGGGCGCCCAGAGCCCCAAAGCAGGGGCAGAACTCACGGCAGTGCACTGCCGGAGCAGGCACGACTGCTTCATGCGCCCGGGCCCCCCGAACTTCTTCATGTCTCGGCAGAAGTGGCAGTCCCCGCACTCAGTTCGCACACAGGCCCGGCAGCGACGGCAGCGGGTTCGGCGTCGGCGCGCTCCGGCCCCCGGCCCCCGGCTGCTCGACGACATTGGGGGCGTCAGCAACGCCGAGGGCTGTGGGTGAATGGTGACAGGGTCAGGTCGGCCCTCTGGAGCCCTGAGCTGGGAAACTCCTGACAGCTCCCTCCATTTCTAGGCAGCCAGAGCTACCCGCCTACCCAGGGAGACAAGGAACATGGAGGTCACCCCCTCCTGCAGAAGGTGGGGGAACCACTCCCTCAAGGCCCTACTCTCCCAAGCAGCTCACCTGGCTCCTCTGAGAGCCTGAGAACTGGCTTCCTCTAACACTTCAAGCACCTCCTTGCCTAGCCCAAGGAGGACGCCGGGACATGAGCCTCTCCACTGACATCCCCACATCAAAGCTCTGTGGAAAGCCAGGGGCTCCTTGTCTGTGGCGTTACATTAGGGGGTCCCAATTCTTCCCCTGCTATCTAAATGTACTATACCCTATGCTCTCCCCAACCTAAAATTCCCCAGATTTACCTCCAAGACACCCACAGATTACTGGATGGAAGCTCCAGACCTTTCTTTCTCCTTCCTCTCTCACACACAATTACCACCCAATTTCTCTTACCCTAAACCTAGGAATCTTCATCAGATCCAATGGGGTTCTTGCCCCACCCCCAAAGATTCACTCTGCTGCTTAACTTCCAGGGATCTGAGACCCTCCCTGAAAAGCTGTTTCAGAGTCCCTCTTCTCCCCCCAAGAACTCAATTCCTTTGCTCCCCACAGAGCTCCCTCTGCTCTAAGACACCCTTTTGTATCTCTTGGGTCAACCTGGGCAACCTCTTGGATTCCCTGGGACTGTAGCATCCAGCCTGACATGTTTACAGATCACAGGATGGGCTCCTACATGTGTCCCCCAACCCCAGCTTCCTAGGCTGCTTTCCATCCCTAATTGTCTAGAATCCCTTGGGCTACCCTTCCCATGGAAACCAAATCCAAGATCCCAACAGGCCTAGAGGATCTCTTCATGGCCCAAGTCTTACCCCAGCTTCCCCCTTTCCAGGGACTTCCAGACCCATCTATGGGAGTGGGGAAGGGGCCCTCCAGCGCTCCAGGGGAGGGGCCTGGAGGGCGGCAACTGCAGGCAGGGATGGGGGTCTGCAAGGGGAAGCAGGATCTAGGAAGGAAGGCCAGTTCCCCAGGGTTGAGAGGTAACAGGATGAAGGGCTGAAGATGAGTTTGGAGCAAAGAGAGGGTGAGGCTGGGGGCGGGGAAGGTAGAGAGAGGCCGGGCTTAGGATGAATGGGAGTGGGAGCTGCCCAGGTCTGGGGGTGAGGAGGAGCCGCACGAACCCACCTCACACGTGTCCCGGGAGCCATCTCTCCCTTCTCGGCAGCTCCCGGCGGGTCGGCGGCCATCGACGGCGGGGGGGCCGGGCG